CTCTCTCTCCCTCTCTCTCTCTCTCTCTCACACACACACACACACACACACACACACACACACACACACACACACGAGATAAACCAACAAAAATAACTTTGGAAGTGACAGAAAAGGGCAACGAACAGGAAACAAGTGGAGAGCTGGATGATAATGATGGGATTCAAGTGGAATTTTCATTTTCAATGCTTGAGGTTGAACCCAGGGCCTGGCACACACTAGGTATGTGCCCTACTATTGGTGAGTTATGAATGTGCTCAGTCCTTTTTAAAAAATTTAGTTTTGAGACAGAGTTTTGCTCAAATGCCCAAGCTGTCCATGAATTCACGCAACAGCCCAGTCAGCCCTTGAACTTTCAATCCTCCTGCCTCAGCTTCCCCAAAACCGGAGACTGCACATGTGCACCACCACACCCAGCTCAGCAAGTGGAAAATTTTAAAAAATTCACGGTTCCACTTTCCTAAACAGGAAAGCGTTTGCCCAATGAATTTCGCTGACGTAATTGGGCTGTGTGTTCTCTTTCGGTGTTTGGTTGCCCAGATATGCTGGAGAAGCAAGAATGACCCCTCGAACTGTTATCTCTTCCTCAACTTCGCCCACGAAGCCATGGCGACTAACATTTTGAACCAGACATGATACTTTAGGGTGGGTGACAGAGCAGCCCAGGGTCCCTGGACCCCTTAGTCACTGCTGCCCTTTTGTAGTTTTCTGCAGGAACCCCACGTTCAGGATCCTAACGACCTTCATCCAGTTACTCTCACCCAGAGCAATGGCAGCAGGAAGCCAGTTAATAAATGACCGAGGAAGCTGGGAACTCTGGGAAGCCGTTGCGGTGGAAGAGGTTGTCAGTGTATCGAGTCCCAGCCCCGGTGCCGGGACTGTGCTGCCTGCCATGCGCTCCTCCCTGAGACCCACCAGAAACCACGAGTCACTGCAACAAGGAAGTGGGAAATGCAAACCGCTTGCAGATTTTTGTTCATTCTGGGGAAGTTGATTTCCTTTTGGATATTGCCGACTCGTGTGCCATTTTCCATGTTTTTGGCATCCTAGGGACATGCTGTAACCTTCTCTAAGGAGACAGAAGATGCTGGCGAGTTCGTTTTTCATTAAGTAAAACTTATAAATATAGATGCTTTACTAAATGGCTTTTCCTACTGACAATCACTAGTGTTTTATAATAATTGCAGTAACTGTTAAGCCTTTATGGAGAGTTAAAACGAGAAGGCAAAGCTCAAAATGAAACAGGAATTCATTGAAATAACTGAAATAGGTCCTAGGACATCTCAGAGTGGTTGCTGTAGTATGCTGAGTTTTGTTTGTTTGTAAGTGATACCCATTGCTTTAAAAAGTGTTCAGGAGTTTAGGGCTCCATGTGAAACACCCAGGGCTGGCAATATGGCTCAGCAGAAAAAGCACTTGCCATGGAAGCCTGATAACCTAAGTTCAATATCCAGACCCCCTGGTGGAAGGAGAGAACCAACTCCCAAGTGCTGGACTCTGACTTGTACATGTGTACCATGGCATGCATGTGTGAACACACACACATACATGCACACACACTCACCTCACATACATGCATACATTAATAATAAATTAATTTAAAAATTTCCAAACCCAGCTTTGGCAAACTAATATTTGAGAGCGGTAAATATAATTAAGCATGTATGAATAGCAGTAGCTGGGATGGGGCGTCTAGAATCATTTTGTGTTTGAAATGATTAGCAAGCCCAGAAAACCTAACCTGGAGAAAATGTGAAGTATTTCCATATTAAAATATTTAAACAATGGTTAGAGGAAGATAAATTGAATTTCTGAGGCACTAATAAGTAGAAATATGACTACTGAGTAGAGATTCGAGTGTAGAGATACTTGAGCTAACATAAAGGTACCTCTTTTGTTGAGCATGGTAGCTCACACCTGTATTCTGAGCAGGGAAACTGAGGCAGGACAGTCATGGTTTCAAAGTGATTCAAGGCTTTAGGGTAAGGCCCTGTTTAAATAAATAAATATCATCGCTCTTAAAGCTAAGGAGAAATTTAAGTCACATACTAGGGTCAGACAAAATGTAATTTGATCTTTCTCTATATCACATTTTAAATTTACTTATCAATATAAGATCTTGCAGTGTATTCCAGGCTGGTCTCAGACTCGGGATTGTCCTGTTTCTTCTTCCCTGACTGCTGGGATTACAAATGTGAACGTTCACATAAAACCTTCCTGTCTATCAGACTTTATCTCAAGTTCCCAACTGTGGGGGAAATGTTGCGTATTATTAAAGTAGTCCAGTTCAGTATTCTGCCCTGCCCCCCACTCTCTGAGGTTTGATTCTAAGAAGAGCATTTATGCTTCATGCAGACAGCCTCTTAAGGTGTTCCCCAAAGCCCCAGCCACCTGAGCCCCACAGTTCCCATTGACTGCAGGCACAACCTGTGATCTACCTCTTAACCCGAGTGATGGGATATGTGTGGTTATATATATTTGATTACATGCACATGACTGTTACATGTTTCTCTCTTGCTGATTAGGAGGAGGCAACCCACATGGTCATGAGCCCCCTCCCATGCCAGGGAGTGTAGGTAGCCTCTGAGCTGAGGGTGGGCTCCACTCAACAGTAAGCAAACAAATGAGGCCTTAGGTGAACAACCGCAGAGAAATGAAATTTCCCAACAACATGAGCGAACTTGGAAGTGGATGACGTCAGGTGAAGTCACAGCACCAGGCCATACTTTGGTTCCAGCCTCATAGGACCCCAGGCAGAGACAAGCCTACTAAGATTCCCTACTCACAGAAACTGACATCAATAAAGGTGCACCATTTTAAGCACAAGTCTTAGTAATGAACATATTTCTACCCCCCAAAAAATGAATTATAGAAATAGGCAATGAATACATCTTGACATAGGATAAAGGAGTGTCTAATTCATGGTGTCTTATTCTTTCTATGGTTTGGCTTGAATGCCTGTGTGTCATTCTTATACCAGAGAAGAGTACTGCCAACATTCCTTGGTCCTCTCAAGGGCTTCCATTCCTGTTACATCCTAGTGTCTTCTTTAGTGTCGTACTGAGCCCGTCCTCAAGGGTGGTCAGCCTTCTCTATACTGTCAGCTGTGAGGTTCCCACACCATACCTAAACCTCAGTCTAAAGGCCTCCCAAGATCTTCTAATATTCAGTTGTGTTTGGACCATTCTCAGTCAGAGAAAACACACTTCCTCTCCCTGACCTTGTTCGACTGCTGTCTCTGGAGAGCTCCTTCTGACCTTTGGCTTAATAATTCATTCCTTTGTTGTCTGTGGCTCATCTTTCCTAGAGTATGGTGGTGGCCTGGGGAATTTTCTACAGAAGCCATTGATTCCCAAGACTGTGAGAAGGGAGGACACAATACAATACACAGGGTGTTTTTATCCAGATCAATCCATCTAGGTCCCTCTCAAGTTCCCCTAGCCTTAGATGAAGCCTCACCACTGAGTCAGGGCACCACCCATCACAACAGTGTTTCAGTGGTTAGAAAAAGGCTTCCTTCTGCCAAGCTTGGCTTCAGAGTGCAAGGCTTAGTTAAGGAGGTGCAAATTAGATCCCAGCCCCCCCTTTTTTTTTCCAAGACAGGGGTTCTCTGTGTAGTTTTGGTGCCTGTCCTGGATCTCACTCTGTAGACCAGGCTGGCCTTGAACTCACAGAGATCCTCCTGTCTCTGCCTCCTGAGTGCTGGGATTAAAGGTGTGTGCCACCTCATTAGGCTTGTGCCACCTCAGCCCGGCACAGCTTCTTCTTATAAACCTTGCTGACAGAGCTTACCAGTGGGGGGGGGGGCAGGGTAGGTAGGGTCCAGGCATCAGTTAAACATTTTCTACCCCTCCCTTCATAGAACCTTTATGAATTCAGAATAGAGGCAGGGCACAAAGGAACTGGGTCATTCATGCTTCCAGATCTTTCTGGAAGAATTTGAACTTTGAAGCATTGTTTGACTTGAAGTCACCCTTTTGAAGCAATGAAAACTGTAGATTGTATTTCTTCTGGCACTAAGAGGGAGTCATGGGGAGTTAGTTGTACGGGAGAAGTCATTAAATATGGCAAAAACACAGCATCTTGCTAGCACTTAACTGCTGATCAGTATGGCTGAACGTAGTTGAAAGTTTCTCTGGTCTCCCCCGGCCCCCGCAGTTCCACATTCCTCTGCCCCCAGCCCCGGGTCCCTCAGCCACTTATAAAATAATCATTCAGAGGCCTAATATTATTTACAAACTGTATGTCTATGGCAGGCCTCTTGCTAGCTAGCTCTTATATCTTAAATTAACCCATTTCTGTTCATCTATGCTTTGCCATGTGTTCCGTGGCTTTACAGGTCTGCTGGCATGTTGTTCCTTGGGCAGCAGGCTGGCATCTCTCTTCAGATATCACCTTTCTCTTCCCTGTCTCTCTCCTTGGATATTTTGCCTGCCTCTAAGCTGCCTTGCCATAAGCCAAGCAGCTTATTTATTGACCAGTGGGAACAACATATATTCACAACGTACAGAAAGACATCCCCCAGCAGCTGAATGTTGTCCTAAAGTAAGTGCCTATCCAAGTCCATGTGACTATTTCAGCCACAACTTGTACATGATGAATGTGAGGTTTACACAGCTGATGTCTCCAATATTGTAGTCTTAAAAAAAAAAAAAGGAATAATATCTAAGCCCACTTACCTGGTTCAAGCCTTGTGAGTTCATGTTTAGTCTTATAAACATCCACCACTGCTGAGCACACCAGGAATACAACAGTTCCAAAGCACCATGCTACTTTAGAAGCCATCCTGGAGTTGAAAATCCTAGATCACTAGAAATATTTAAGCAAGCCTAGGTGACCACTGAGCTAGCTTTGTAAGACAGAATAAGCAGTGTTCATTTCAAATACATGGAGGAGTTAAAGCTTGAAGGAAATAATCATTTCATCCATTTACCTCAAGGATCAGAAACGTGGGCTAAGGAGGAGGCATGGAGGTCAAAACACTTGATGAAGCAGAGTGAGGACCTGAATCTTCACCCCCAGAATCCACATAAAACTGGATGCAATAGCTTGCATCTGTAATCTCAATGTTCCTCAGGTAAGATGCTCGCCAGATACAGGGGGATCCCCAGAAGCTCGTGAACTGGCTAGCCTGGGATATGCAGTGGTAAACAAGAGATGATGTCTCCAAAAAGGTTGAAAACAAGGACTATCTTAGTTAGGGTTTCTATTGCTGTGAAGAGACACCATGACCATGGCAACTCCTATAAGAAAACATTTAATTGAGGGTTCAATACATCATCATGGCGGGGAGCATGGAGGTGTGCAGGCAGACATGGTGCTGGCTACATCTTGATCAGACGGCAACAGGAAGTAGACTGAGGCACTGGGTGTGGCTTGGGCATATATGAGACCTCAAAGCCCACCCCTACAGTGGCATACTTCCTCCAACAAGGCCACACTTCCTCCAACAAAGCCATACCTCCTAATAGTGCCACTTTCTATGAGCTTATGGAGACCATTTATATTCAAATTACCATAAGGATTAATCCAGAAGTTTGTGTTGACCTCCACATGTATGATAAGATACATGCATGCCTGTCCATACACACAGTCATGTGCATACACCCATATACCACCCTCCTACAAAGATAAAGAAATGAATCAGAAGCAAAATGTTCCATTATAATTCCCCCCAATGCTTGTTAATCTTCGAGGGCACAGTAGTGTTTAATGAAAGAAACTACAATAATGCTAAGGCTGCAACAGAAACTGAAGGGTGTGACTCCCTGCAGCTAAGCACTAAATTGACGTGACACCTTTCCAAATGAGTATCTCTAAGGGCAGCCTGAATTCTAGAGTAGCCTACCTTGCTGCAGGATAGTACACAATCTCATCAGCAGAGTTTATCTGAGTGTGAGAGAATGGAGTTTGGGCATCAACAAACCAGTCTGCTACTGGCTGCAACAGGCCCAGCCAACACTTCTTGGGAATGGGCCATGAGAGACTGACTATAATCGCAGTCATTAGTGACACAAGGCAGCATGGCTTCTGATGGGCCGTGGGAGCTCTTCTGTTCCACCCTCCTGTGTCCAGAGAGAGTGGCAACTGGGAGTCATTACATTTACGACTTCTGTGAATAAGGCAGG